CTACCCCATACGTACAACTGAATTTTTTCCACCCGCATACATTTTAGGTCACATTCGCGGAATTCTATGTTGCAATGCTGGGATTTGTGAACTTCCGTTTGTACCAAATGATAGGGTTGTATTACCCACCTCAGATCCAAACTGGCCAAAATGCTGTTGCTGCAGGTAATTATGGCAAAATAACAGACTTTTAGTTTATTTCGAATGCTTACAGATACCACAAATGAGGAAGATGTTATGGAGAAAGTTTACAGTCTTGCGAGACCGTTGGCGAAAAAGGCTGATGCGGACAATGACAAGGAAGAAGAGGTTTGATTATTTTGTTAGATTATTTGTCGCCCCAGCTATGAAGACGACGTTTTCAGGAAAATTTTGAAATGTTTGGAGATGATGATAACGCTTTAGCCGAGAAAGTGAAGGAGGCAAAATCCATAAAGTCGGTGGATCTTATTTCCTCATCATTTTGCCGTTAAGTTTGGTATTTTCAGAACGCTTTTCAAAGGATTAGTTTTCTTTTTGAACCGCGAAACCCCTAAGGAAGCTCTGACGCTCATCATTAGGAATTGTGGAGGAGTTGTAGGTGAGTGGCGTCTTTTCATCATATCACTATAAGAATTTTTTGCTCAAGGATGGAGTGGCGGACCAACTAATTTGGAGGAATCAAGCCCGAAAATCACGCATCATGTTGTCGACAGACCAATGACGAAATTTGACGTTAGTAGGTAAGTAGATCATCAAACCGTTTATCATTTCCAGCTTATTTTCATTTCTTCTAGGAGGTATATACAGCCTCAATGGGTTTTTGATTCTCTGAATGCTCGACGTAGATTGCCATGTGAAAAGTATGTCTTCTTCGTAAACATACAGAACGAAAGATAAATTGCTTTGCATATAGGTACATGCCAGGTGTGCAGTTACCTCCACATTTTTCACCGTTTACTAGCGAAAAGCCAGGAGACTATGTACCGATGGAGCGGTTAGAAGAATTGAGAAGCCTTGGCCAGGGTAAGTGCAAATTATTGCGATGAAGAAGGGCGTAGTAGATTTCTGGATGGTGTGTTTTTCAGATGTTTCTGCTCTTGTGTCAAGCGAGCCAGCCTTACCTTCCACTTCCAAGCCTAAGAAGGTCAAGAAGCCACAGCAGGAAGAGGAGAAAGGAATGCGCGTTACACTTGGAAAGATGCATACCAAGAATAAGCAGCTTGAAATCAATCAACAGGTAGGGTTACATACACCTTTCAACATGAAATTGGGCTGAAAATGTTTTTTCTAGCATTCTGATGTGAAGATGCGCGAAATGATGATGAAGAAGAAACACAAACGAGTTTACCATAGTATACGTCAAAAGATGAAGAAGGATAAAAGCGGAGCGTTGAAGTTGAAAGAAAAGCGTGCGAAATTACAAGATGGACCATCAGTCGCTGAGTCAAAAACATGAGTTTGAATTTCTTCACAAGACATTTGCCAGTAATCTCCTTTTTTGTTGATTTTGTCGTTGTTGCATACTGTACTGTTATCATTGTTGATCCTGTCTTGAGCTCTAACAGAGGACATAAATAGATTTATAAATTTCGCACACAAAATGGCTGGCAATATATTATTTTGAATTGAGGGAGTACCAGCCTCCAACAATAGACTTTTACCTACATCTGAGCATTTTAATATCACAAGCGAAATTGAACTTTGCAATCAACCGTGCAATTTTGAACTAATACTGAACTTTGCAAGCTAGAAATGCGTACCTAAAATCTCTACAACACTCTAGTAAAAAAACTATCAAGAAAACCAATGGTTCCACTGGCAATCGTCGGTCCATGGGGCTTCACAAATGAA